CGGCCACTCCGGCCACTCCCCTGGTCACTCTGACCCCTCCCCCGGTCACTCCGGCCACTCCCCCGGTCACTCTGACCCCTCCCCCGGTCACTCTGACCCCTCCCCTGGTCACTCCCGTGGTCACTCCGGCAACGCCGGTGGCCGCGGGCAGCGCCAGGGGGTTGGTGGTCAGCGAAGGGTTGGTGGTCAGCGAAGGGTTGGTGGTCAGCGGAATGTCGGTGGTCAGCGAGGGGTTGGTGGTCAGCGGAACCTCGCCAGTGGTCATCGAGGTGCCGGTGGCCATCAGGATGTCGCCGGTGGTCATCAGGATGTCGTCGGTGGTCATCGAGGTGCTGGTGGTCAGCGGGATCTTGCTGGTGGTCAGCGGGATGGTGACGGTCAGTGGGACACTGCTGGTGGTCATCGGGATGTCGCCGGTGGTCAGCAGGATGTCCCCAGTGGTCAGCGGGATGTGGCCGGTGGTCAGCAGGATGGCGTTGGTGGTCATCGAGGTGTCGGTGGTCAGCAGAACCTCGCCAGTGGTCATCGAGGTGTCGGTGGTCATCAGGATGTCCCCAGTGGTCAGCGGGATGTGGCCGGTGGTCATCGAGGTGCCGGCGGTCGTCGAGGTGCCGGCGGTCAGCGGAATCCCGCCAGCGGTCATCGAGATGTCGCCGGTGGTCATCGGATTGGTCATCGAGATGTCTCCAGTGGTCATCGGGGTGTCTCTGATGGTCATCGAGATCTCACCAGTGGTCACCAGGATGTCACCGGCGGTCATCGAGGTGTCCCCAGTGGTCACCAAGACCTCACCGGTGGTCATCGAGATGTTTCCAGTGGTCATCGAGGTGTCCCCAGTGGTCACCAGGATGTCACCGGTGGTCATCGAGATGTTTCCAGTGGTCATCGGATTGGCGCTGCTCGTCGGGGTGTCCCCAGTGGTCATCGAGGTGTCCCCAGTGGTCATCAGGATGTCCTCAGTGGTCACCAAGACCTCACTGGTGGTCATCGAGATGTTTCCAGTGGTCATCGAGGTGTCCCCAGTGGTCATCAGGATGTCCTCAGTGGTCACCAAGACCTCACCGGTGGTCATCGAGATGTTTCCAGTGGCCATCGAGATGTTTCCAGTGGTCATCGAGATGTTTCCAGTGGCCATCGAGGTGTCCCCAGTGGTCACCGAGATGTCCCCAGTGGTCACCAGGCCACCCCCGGTGACCACCACGACCCCACCGCT